GAAACTTGACACCACCTCTGCCAAGCCCAAGAACAAAGAGGTTCGTGATGCCGTTGCACCAACTCTGAGGATGATGAGATCATTCTTCTACAAGCTTTGTGGAGGGTTTGAAAAAGCTTGCTTAATGAGCTTCTCATTGGTCTCAATTCTCAAAGATAGATACAACCGGGGACGAACGCAATTCAAGCTCCTTCTGCAGATGGTAGACTGCAATAAAATAATTTAAGCAAGCTCTAACCCTATCCTTAATCAAGGTGACCAAATATGTGAACCTCTCAATTCCAAGAAAGCCAAAAGATTTCACAAGTGTCCATCGCTAACTATCCGCAGATTCAATCACACCCAAGCTTTAACACACCTATAAAGGGATCCAAAACTTGGATTAGTTTTCCACTATCTATCAACAGATACTAAAGAAAGCCGGTGAATTTCAAATCTGGGTAAACTAAATATCAAAGGGATTAAACTTCATTATCGGATCTAGAGATTGAAGCAAGAATTAGGGCTTTGAGGTTTGATTTAAGTGTTAGGTTAATTTGGTGAAGGATATGAGAGTGTTGAGAGGGTTTTAAGTACTACTAGATGAACACCAGCGTATACACGCGGAATTTTATTTTAAATATGTATTTCATAATTTCATAAATTAACAAGTTAACTGAGTTATTTTCTTCCAAAGCTTAAGTTGCTTTTAACCATATCATTATCATCCGAATCCGTGTGATCACACATTCATATTATGTATATCTATTTTCACAAATTTATTGGTTAAATTAATTGAAAAAATAGGTGAAAACTATTACAATGTCAAATTAGAATTGAGAATTATTTATTATCACCCGCTACATTATGGTGTTTAGGCTAAATTGTGTTTTTTGCTTGTACTCTCTACTTGTATTCCATCGTGAATCTCCAATATGAACAAAACCAAATAGTAATAATTTTATATGTTAATGTCCGTAACTAATTATCCGTAAACAACATAAGTTAATAATATCATTAACAAAATTAGTTCTTATGATATTCTTCAAATAAAACGTTACCACATTTACCAAAAAAAATTCAAAGGTAAAATAACCCAATTTTAGAATCATCCAATGATCTTTGTAACTATATTTTTTTTTTCTTTTTGGGATAAACTATTGCAATCAGAGGATCGATTAAGCATTTCACCTAACTAATTTATAAGACCTCCATTTGCTTGTATGAAGATTATATTTTTGAAGACATCAAAGCACTATGCTAAACCAATTAACTTTTTCCAAACATATGCTCATATTTTACTTTAGAAAAAAATGTAAGAAAATGGTTATAAGATATACCAGCACACTTATCTCACCTTTCACATACACTTACGTTGTGATTTTGATTTTTCTTCAACTCCTTCGGTTTTAATGCATGATTCCTTGTAATTTTCTGTTTTTGTTTTTCTTGATTTCTTTTCCAGAAGATATTGCGTGTTGTTTAACAATGTGTGTGATATGCTACACTGAATGTGGTAGTGATTATATCAAAGAGAAGTTATTGGACCAAAACAGTAGGAAGGTTGTTTAATTTGAAGTTGGAAGGTTGTTTACTTTCGTTTTTCTTTGTCGAATGGGATACAA